GTCGATGCAGGACTTGTAAGATGAGTACAAATACTCTTTAGTTACCTTATTTCTAATTGATGTGGGACTTAGAAGATATAAAAGATGAAGGTTATCTTCTAAGTATATATTCTTTAATTTTTTTAATTATCTAATCTCCTAATACCAACTTAGAATAGTAAGTTATAGACTTAACTCAACCTTATAAAACATACTTCGAAAGTTCTCAAATTGGAACGGGCCATTCCATACTACTAAAATGGCCTAGAAAGATTAGGTTGGAACGGGCCGTTCCAACACATGATTCACTGAGTAAACTTCGAACCTAGAACGGGTCGTTCTGATTTGGGAACAGGTCGTTCCAAATGTGGCCGTTGTGAGTTGAAACTCACACAAAATTGACATTTTCCGGACGAAATTGGGTTACTACATTCTTTCCATGAACTTGACTGGAGCAAAGACTTAAGCTCTTCATTGTAGCTTTTTTGTTTGCAACAAGTGTATCCAAAGAAGATAGCGTATTCATTTTTTGGATTGATGATCCTAGTTCCGTCGAGGTTTTGCTAGATTCCAAACTCATTTCTAAGCATAGCTCTTGGATGGTAACACAAATTTCAAGGGATTGCTACAAAGATTACAACAAATAACAAAGTCAATATATATGTAATTATGGTCCATAATAAAGATAGTGTTAGAGAGCATATTCATAACATTTATCATATTATTTATGGTATGTTCTATGAAAAAGGAGATGAAAAATTAAACAAAAAACACAAAGAAGGGGGTCGAATGTGTGTGTAAGGTTTAAATTTTTTTTTTCGCAAAAAAACAATTATAAATTAATTTCAAAAATTAATATTAGAGATAGATGTTAGAGAGAGACAAAGAACATAAAGGTGGGGACCAAAGAAACATACTGAAACAGAACGAATGAATATCTACCTTCTTCTTCTCATGGTTGCTAGATGGGTACAAAAAGTTAGACATATGTAAGATTTTTTAAAGATGGGGTAAGGTAGCCAATAAGAGAAACAAATGAGAGTAGTGACATGGCTTTGTAAGGTTCAAAGTGATTAAAAATGAAAAGGAGCTAGAGAAGTAATTAGACAAGATACACATCTGAAGCATGAAAATGCACGTCAATGTTCAAAAATATAGGAGAGACGCATGGAAAAACAATGATACTAGAAAAACACCTTAAAGGTACATGGAAGAACTAATGTTAGTTGGGGACAACAATATGCATAACCAAAATAAAGACGAAGGTTGAAAGAAAACTTATAAACAAGCGGTTAACGGAGAAAATAGAGGAACAAACAAAAAAGGAATGATAACAAAATGGAATAGAAAAAAAATGGAGATGATGTGGAAGAGGAAGAAGAAAGAGTGGAAGGGCACAAACATCAAAGTTAAAGAAGGAAACATCAAATGGTTAAAGGAGAGCTGGATAGAAAGATTAAAAGATGAAACTAATTTCGAAAGTTTGTAAGGGGCTCTTGTCCCATATGAGGCAATAGAGACCAAGGTGAGATACATGGGAGATATGGTGCTAATAACAGGAGTTTATGAGGAAAGGATAAAAAGAAAAGTTGGCTATTCAAAAGGATAATTTTTGGTCAGTATTCCATTCTATACAAAAGTGGACCTCACACATTGCAATAGGAAACAAATTAGTGTGGGTGAGGTGTTACGACATTCCTCTCCAAGCATGGGGTCAAGACTATTTTTCAAAGGTTGTTAGTATATTTGGGACACTCATATCGATAGACAAAGAAACTTGTGATTTTACCAGAGTGGATTTAGCATGGTTACTTATTAAAACTGCTTCCCCACAACTAATTCAATATAGTAACAAGATCAAAATTAATGGGCTTAATTATTTGTCAAGTTAGGGTGGTTGAGGAATTTGTTGCAAAGATAACCCATTGTAATTGCTGGTTAGAAGTCTCAAGTATCTTCAAGTGGGGAATCATTAACGGAGAGCAGTATAGGGAGGGATTTGATCTCATCTATCGCAGAGTGCTTAGGCAACACAAAGATGGAGGCAAATGCGGAGTTATAAGACGTGACCCAATTCTTGGCTCATCACATGCATCGTCAAAAGAGGTTCAACAAAGAAGATTTATACCGTTACACATTGGACTATGATAATATTTGTAGGACATTTTCACTAGGTGACAAAGAAAAAGAGACAAAAGGACAATTCAAAGAGTACAATAGTTGTAATGTAGACGTTGCAGGGATAACATATCAAACAAAGCTAGTAGAAAGTATACAAGGTGGTGAAAAAAGTGGGACCTAGATCGCCGAAAGCAACCTAAGAAAATTAGTTCTTCAATCTAATCAAAGTGTGGATGTGAGCATCAAATTCAATTCTAAGAAGGAAGCCAAGTGTACTAACAATATTGAGCCACTTGGCAATCCAAGAGTCCAATTGGCACATGGTCAACAAAAGGGAGGATTTGTAGATATGGACCAAGAGAAACCCAATGGTGGATCAACAAAGGATAAGTTGGTTGCAGGAAGGGGACAATAACAGAATATATTTTCACTCAATGGTCAATTTGAGAAAAAGGAAATGCACCCTTAGAGGTTTAAACATTGTTGGTGTTTGGGTGGAGGAGGCTTACGTGTGTGCATTATTGAAAAAATATATATAATTTATTGTTTTTGGGTTACGTACAAAATTGATTTAACATTGATTTTGTTTCCACTAATTTTATATGTAAGAACTTTTAAAATCAAATGTGAATCAATTTCAAAAATTATATACAAAGTCAATTATTAAGAAATGATTTTGTATATACCTAAACATAAAATTTACCCATACCACACTTGCCAACCCTGCTACATCTTCCTCTTCTAGCCAATCTTCGCACTTGTAAGCTTTACAAGGAATTCGTCAACCATTAGTGATGGTACACAAATGATTAACAGCATGCGCCAAAAGAATAATGTATATTATTACATGTAAGTAGGACAAAATGAGTCGTGTCCCACGGTCAGCCCATTGACTTGTCAAAATTTGGTGACCTAGGTCCATCATTCTAACCCGCCAACTCGCCAAGCTCATCTCTCCAAGCTCACCAACCTGCCGTGCGAAATTGTGGGCTAGTCCATCACAACTCACTAGTCCGCATTTGAGGTTCTTGTTAAAAAAATAGTAATTTGTAAGTTTGTAATTTAGTTTTAATTTTGTTGTAAGTAGACTAATTTCTATTTGATTTTGTTAGTTTGTAATTTGTTTTTGTTGAACATATATTATACACAATGAGTATGCATTTTCAATTTCATGCGGATATATTTATTTATTTGTAGTAGTTTTTTGTTTGAACATAAAATACATTTTTTTTGTAATTTTTTTTAGTGGTACGTGGGTTGGCCCGCTAGTTCGCTAGCCCGCCTTTAGGCGGGGTGAACCAACATTCCCAGCCCATTTTTCAATGGTCAGCTAGCCCGATCCATTTTTGACAAGTCATTGGTAGGTTGGGCTAAAACGGGCTGGATTGATTCATTTTACCACCCCTACATGCAAGCCAACCTACTTGAACAAATATATAAAGCCAACCTAAGTCGCTAAAAAGCAAAAGACAAATCTTCACTTTACAGTTACATGTAATTGAAAAGCTATGTACAAAATCACCAAAAACAAAATGAAACGCAATGCACAATAATGATATTACAGATCCGTGGAACAACTCCAACACTACAAACACTGGAAATGATAACTTAGTGCACCAAAAAGAAATGCAGTGCATGATGATAACACATATCTAGTGAACAATAACCTTGGTCGCACGAACAACTTGTCACCATATCCAAGCTCCTTCACTACCATGTTGCTCTCATTCACGTCACACAACCCTTTTGTTGTAATTTGCACTACATGAATAGCCCTTTGCGTTCCGCTACTGTTAATGGCTTCGCACAATTGCAACCTCAACCATCACTCTTGTTTGCATAAAGAAGTCTTGCTCTGGCTCCCATTGTCGTCGCCCAGCGTCGAGATGCAAAAAGATGTTGGCCTTAACGCCCCTCCCCCTTACGACCATCTTGAGCATGCTACTTCAAGGGCGAAAGATAAACTAAAAAATATGTTAAAGTGGCTAGATAAAAAGTTAAAATGAAGAGGGTAGACGAAGTAGTTGGAGAAAAAATTCAAATGTAAACTATCTTTTAAAATTGATTATCCTCTGACCAATTAAATAAAATACATTTAAAATAGGTTAAATTTTTAATCGATTTAGATTATAATATACTAAATCAGTTGTTATTTTACAGATTTTAAAAATAAAGATAAAGTTATCTTTTAAAATTATTTATTTTTTTAACCATTTTAGTATATTACATTTAAAATCAGGTAAACTTTTAACCGATCTGAAATATAGTATACTAAATCAATTGGTATTCATCATATCTTATTTGTATAATTTCAAATCATTCATTGCGTCATTAATTAAATCAATTGTAATAATACTAATTTAATCGCCTGATCTCGTAAACTATTTTTGCACTAGTGCAAGACTTAAACATTCTTTTTGTAGTATTTTATTTTCTAGATGTTGCAATGTAACTATTTACTATACTATTTTGAGTATATGAATAAAAGAGGAAATAAAGCATATATGCATTTATAAATTGTACAGATTATAAAAACACTTATCAATGGTTATTTATAAACATTTTTAGGGTTTGATTTAAGCATGAAGACTTTTATACAAGCATCGGACTTTTGTATACTAAAAGACGGACCTTGGTCTAATGCATTAGACTTTAGATGCAAACGCTAACAAGTAGTTGAAATTTAGTGTTACACTTGTTCATTTTACTTATTTGATAGAAGATAGTTTATTTAATAAAAAAAATCTACATTTCTTCTATACTTTGAACGCATGGTTCCTGAAATGATTTATATATCAAAATCATGACTTTGTTATCATAAAAAATGGAGTGGTAGATGTTCTCATTCATCTTTGGTTTAATAGGAGATTATTGACAAAATAATTAAGTAAAATAGAGAGTGATTAACAATTACAAATTCATAATACAAAAAATATGTTAACATGATATTAATGTCACAAAAGAAAACTAAAATGAGAGTGATACTCACTAATCTTGAAATTCACGATACAAATTTAACATTAATTTGTATTTAAGAGACCTTTCATGATCTAAGCAACATCATGTCTTCTGAATGCTCAATATGGTGTAATACACCATTAATTTTTGTTGTGAATAACTTTGATCCAAGGTTGAAACAATGATGGATATTACAATCCTACATGTATATGAATTGTCAAACTATGATTGATTTTTCACTCTCTGACACAGCAAGCGTTGACTCCTCAACTAGAATAATAAGTTGGAGGTTATTAGTCTTGTTACCCGATTCAGCACAATCATAGTGTGGAGATTGTGATGATTTTGGTTTTGGAGATTTGCTTGTATCATCAATATGAAAATGTGTAATGGTGGCAAGATCATTAACTAAATCTGCTATTTTCTCTATAAATTCAACAATATCAATCAGTAATGAAGTCATTGTCATAATTGATATAAGTGATAAAAGGTCTATTTCTTTTGATGAACTTGATTGGAGCAATGACTTAAGGCTCTTCACTACAACTTTTGCATTTGCAACATGGGTATTTGAAGAAGATGACATAGTCATTGTTTTGATTGATGATCCTAGCTCCTGCAACACTTTGCTAGATTCCAAACTCATTTCTAAACAAAGCTCTTGGATTGTACAACGAATTTTGGAGGATCCCTACAAAGGTTGCAACAAGTAACAATGTCAATATATATGTAATCATGGCCCATAATAAAGTTTATATTTGAGTACATGCAAACTCATTATTTGGTTCTAAAATGACAATAGTTGAAATTCAAATTATTTGTTTATTTTGTCTATGTATACAGGGAGGAATTATTACATGGTCCAAAACAATCTTAATCACAACCAGTCATTACATGACATGTAATTGGTGTTATTATTAAGTCTTTCTAATGGTTTAATTTTTTTTTAATTATATTCCACATGAAGATTAGTTGAGACTAAATATATTATAGTAATTTGATAGCATAATAATTTGTCCTTTACTTGCCAATTCTACTCAATGACATTTTACTTGGACATAAGATGTTAAAGAAGTATAAGATTCATGATGTATACTTGGACGTCAAAACTAAGGTGTGCATTCAGAGTTTCCATTTGATATGCACACTCACGAGAAATGGCACCAATTTGGAGGTATAGGTCCCAAGGATGACGAAATTTGAACTTTCCATGCCCTGGCTCCCATCTTGCAAAATTAACCTACATAATAAAGAAAACTACATGAGATTTGTACATGAGATTTTTATTAAAGTGAAGAAGTGATGAGAGTATACAAAGCGTACTCACCAGATATTCATCGCTACTTTTAGAATTTAGAACATTTTTATAACCTTCTAAAACCGACTTGTCTGTAGAATCTCCTTTGTTGTCTTTAAATTCTCCTTCTTTTGATATCTTGAAGTATTCATGTGCAAAAGCTAAAATATAACAAGTTATACATGACTTAAGTTTTCTATTCTCATGTTATAAACATAGCCATCTATTATAGCTTTTTGCAAATGAAATTTATGACTTAATCCATGAAAATCTTTGTAAATCAAACCTTCTAAGTAGTCGCCAAGTATTTCCAACTTGTTGGCGATGGAATAATGGAACTCTTCGCCGGCCCACACAGGACAAATAAAAATGGAAATCATCACACAAGCCGAACCCCCTATAACAGTTGTTGATAGTCTCTTATGTACCATTTCCAACACCTCATTGTCTCGAAAACCAGACACGGATATAAAAGAAAATGTCACGATGAATATAAGTATCCCGTAATCATATCTTGCTTTCGCTTTCGGAAAAAACCTTATAAATGATGTTATGGCAGCTGCAAAAAAGTAAAAAGAAAAACAAAACACACACACACAATAACAATCAAATTAATCATACAATTTACAAATCAACGATGATCAATTGAAAATAGCTAGAGCTTTATTCTTTTGGCCTTTTTTTTTTTCTTAAATATTAATTATTGTTGACTTTATTTATTTGTTAATTTCTTTTTCTTTACCTAGCATGAAGACAAACACGCCAATCAATATGGGTTCCGCTGTTGCTCCAGATAGGCTAGCTAAGTGATGAGCCCCAAAACCTAGAGCAGCAGCTCCAAACGTTCCAACTGTCCAATTCAAACCTTGTCCTAAAGTGGCTCCTAAAAACGTGTCATAAAAATTGATTAGTTAGTTCAACAAAGCAAAAAATTAAGCAAATAATAGGTTAGTTTGATATTGATGATTGAAATATACATACAAACATATATACGTAGTTACGTACCGACTGTGTAATCGAAAACCACTACTACAGTTATCACAGCCCACATTGCTGAAAGACCAAAATTTTCATATAATGGCTGGTAGTAATAAAATAGAGACACCATCGAGATTGAAAGACCCACTTTTATTGAATGAATCACTTTTCTAGGATCATCTTTTGCTATCTCTTTTGTTAACCTAGAAATGCCCAACACCTTCTCCTTAACAACTTTTGGCAAGGCCAATACTCGACCAACTACCCCTTCTTTCTCTTGGTTTGTATTTTGAGATTCCATCTCTCTTTGAACCAAGAAAATGAGTAACAAGGCACAAAGATATGATGTTGTTGCTTAATTATTAGGTTCCACCAGCCACCTTCTATGTTTATTTATAGAGAGAGGGGCATGAGAAAGCACCTGACTGAAAACTTGGAGAATAATAATATATATTTTAATGCAATAAACATTAGTTATTTGTACGGTGAGAGTACAGAGACATATCAGCTTTCAAAAATGGGTTTGAACTCTCTAAGGTAGAAAAACCATGGACCCTCATTAAAGAAAATAAATAGATTGGTGCTATGCGACAAAAATTGATAATAATGGTTCATTCTAAACGTTTGTGGATAGTGTTATGCATTGCATGTTGCCCACAAACTTTGAAATTGAAAATCCTGATGGCTTGTGACAATTGGCTTCTGTGACAAATCAGGAACGTAAGATAAGAACTCATCCACTGGAATGTTCAAAAGTGGAAAACAGCTATTAGCTTCAGTGGTAACGATGCGGTATAAAGTTTATATATGATGATTATAGCTAGCTAGCTGCAATCTTTTTGTCATAACATTATATATATGTAAGGAATTAAGTAGGTATATATAGGACCCAAGTTTTAAGTTAAACTTTTAAAACATTTCAAATACGAGTGATGCTATATAAAAATAATGGATATTGTTAATTTATGAATTAATTATCAAATAGTAAAAACTTATTTGATTGGTAGAATGAATGGGGAGGCAAATTTATAATGATAGACTTAGTTAAGAGGAAAACTAATTTAGAGGAATAGTTAGAACAAATTTAAGTAGTGAAAATGACTTACTAGTTTTTTGATATATAAATGTTGGGTACATGACTTATTTATAGGCTTTAATATCACCATTCATGTTTTATGTAGAAAATTCTAGATATATCTATTTTAGAGTTTTCTATCTATATATAATTGTCTACATAATTCTAGAATTTGCATCATCTAGTAGTTACTAGCATACATTTATGTGTTTTTTTTTTATAATAATCTAGTTTATTCTAAAAGTTTGTATCATATATATATATATATATATATAATGTTAGGAGAGGGCTTAAACTTAAGTTGAATTCATTATTGTCTTCAATCTTGTAGTAAAAACAGTCGCATCTAAAGGTTATGTTTAGAGCGTCCCTACGAAGATGACATCAACTTGTAATTAAGGAGTTGGCTATTCATATATAATAATGTGTGACTTGCTATCATTTTCAACTATGTATCGTATTTCGTCTAATACAACATCGGTAACAGTAATGTAAAGCTTTTATTTAAAATGACAAGTCCTTATTGATTCAGTGGAATTTATGACAAGCGATTTCCTGCTTATCTGTATCTTAGTTCGTGGAAGCCGGTGTGTAGGTCCCTGCAGTTAAAGCCCATATAATAGTTAATGGCAATAACTTGTTGCAAACAATTATTATTTCTTATACGAAGTTCTTTCCTTTGCATATATAATATCATCTTTCGCTTTGTCTTTTTATATTGTTTTTATAAATCCTGCAAAAAAATTGTAATGATCTAGATCCTAGTTATTTTCTTCTTCTTTAATAATCGAACAGTGTCAGGAATTCACCACAAAAACAAAAATATGAATATAAATAAAAACCTCCCGAGTTATTAATTGTATAAATTGTTTATCAAATCAATCACTTAAAATAAGTGGGTGAAGTTTTTAATTGCATGAAAAAGTATGACTCCTTATGTTGCTTGAGTAAATATTCTAGAATTTAGATACGATAAGTGTAGGAGATTATTATATGAACAGATGTGATATAGGTTATATAACAAATGAAAGTCGTAATTTCTCCATTCTTGGCTGCTTGCATTTAAAAGCACCTTCGCTTCTCATCAGTTTTCAAAATCTCTTAGCAGCAGAAGTATAGTGGAAGACACCTCATTGCAATAGAGGTGTATTAATTGTCTTGCACTGTTTCTACTTTTTCCGCACTTTAATTAGCATGTTGAATCTGAGGGTTTTTTTTTTTTTTTTTTTTTTGAACAGCATTGAATCTGAGGTTACTATAGACTCTGAACGCCCTTTATGTTTATATTTTAATTTTTCTCTTTTATATCTTTAATTAGCATTTCCTCTGGATGAACCATGCTAAAGTACCACAGCAGAGCAGAGACCAATCCTTTGGGAGTGCACCCACGTAGCCAAATACTACACGAGTATCTTTCGATATGTTAAATCACATACTAATCTCATTCACTATACTATGGTTATCATTTAGAAGAATTTTCTTAAATAAAAAATATCAAAACTTTTTACTAAATAAATCAGTTTTATAACGTGTAAGCACGTAGTGTATAATTAGTACATCAACTCATCAAATTACTTGTGATATTATTTAAAAATATAGAAAAGCTAAATAATTTGTAAAATCAATTTATACTAGACTTATTTAAAATGAAAATCATGTTCCATGCAAATAACTATAAATATTATATCTATATACAACATTATCTTAAGACTATTACAAGAAATATTATATGTAGTAACGTAAAAAAAATGTTACTATAAATAATATATATATAAATAATATATATATATATATATATATATATATATATTTATAATCTATTTGACATATAATTATACATAACTTTAATGTTGATTTTAATTGAGATTTAATAACATATTTTGTGTGTCACTATAATTTATATATATATTTTTTAATAATATGTTAATATATGTTATATTTACTGTGTGAGTAAAAATAATTTTTAGTAATAATTTTTGTGTCACTATAATATGTGTGTCGTTATATGACAATTTTTTATAATAATGTGTTATTTAGTGATTTTAAGCATTATTAATTATAAATTATTTTTAAGAAAACTCTAATTAATATAATATTAAATATTCACATTATATAAGAAGATAATTTTGTTTGAAATTATAGTAGAACATTCATCAAAAGATAATTATATTGAGATTTAAATTAAAGTATTTTATAAGGCAAAATAAAGAGTAGCAACTATATAGAACTTTTAAGTTATAAAGAACTCACTCCACTTATCAACAAAGTTGATAAATGCATATGTTTTAAACAATTAAAACAAAATGAAATCATTTAACATTTGAAATTAAAATAATGATGTATTTAAAGTTAAAAAGTACTTCCAGTTACAATTAAAAAAATTAAAATAAAATAAAGTTATATATATATATATATA